TACCACACTGGCAGGCCACTGGGCCTGACCCGCCAGGCTGTCACAGGTCTGTTTACCTTGCAAGCGTGAAGGGCGGCTCTGCCCTGCCCCTCCTACCACGCCCATGTACTACTGGGTCGTGGGTCTGCCCACCTGGCGGGTGTGGGTGGCGGCTCCGCTCCGCCCCCTCTCCAATTGGGGTCACGCGGTCACCTCGCTGGCAAGCCGCTGGGCCTGCTCCGGGGGCTGGCGGCGGCCCGGCTCCTTCCCTCTGGCTCGAGGACAAATTGAGGAGACTCGGGTGACTGAGCCTCACCCCCCTTACCAGGAGACCAACTGCTTATGTCACCGCTGGTATTGATGAAGATCTCTCCTCCACCGCTTTCTGCTAACATCAGATCTCTGCCATGTTGGTATCCTATGCGAATGGCAGCATTTCGTTCCCCTTGCCGGGCAACCCAAGCAATGGGTGAGTCCTGACCTGCCCTCAGCAGGACCCGGACCGAGACACAGTTTCCGCGGGCTCCTAGCCCCGGTCCAGGGAAGTTCCGGGAGCCGGAACTCGGCCGCTCCGTGCTCGGTGTAAGCTCCTATAAGTGTAAGCTCCAAGAAGCAGTCCCCGCGGGCTCAGTTCCGGGAGCTGGAATTCGGCTTCTTGGTGTTTCGTGTTTGCTCTGATAGTAGCAGGGTCCAAGAAGCAGCCTCCGCGGGCTCCGCAGCCCTGAGCCAGGGCGGTTCCGGGACGGTTCAGGGAGCCGGAACTCGGCCGCCCCGCGCTCCGTGTTCACTCCGATAAGATCAGATTTTAAGAAGCCCCCAGGCGCTGAACCCTAGCAATCTGTCTGCAAGCCGCAGGCGAATTGCAGCCTGAAATTACCTGTTCTATGGCTGAATGAGCTGCGGTCAGTCAAAAACAGGTGTGGTGACGTCAGTTTACCAACATGGTGGCTGCTGGCCTCCTCTGTGGTCTGACCGGTGTGGAGAACCGAGATGGACCGCTTCCTTCCCCCGTCTCGAACCCAGAATTCAGCCCTGAGTGCGGTGCTTGCGCGTCTGGCAGAAACTGCAGCACTGTAACCCTGCGTCTCTATCCCAGCGCGCCTTGCAGACTCTAGCCGCGGGGCGATTTGCTGAATAAGCAGTGTTACCCTCCGTGCGACAAACCTCTCGCGTTTGAGTCCCCGTAGCCGATCCTCATGCGATGGAAATCCTTCCTCCAGGTTCCGGCGCACCCCACTATTGCTGGAAATTCCTAACAAGATATCCTTTAGCCGTCCTGACTTGTCATACTCCCACACAGTGAAGCAGCACACGGGGGTAATGCACTCCCCTCGCCGCCATCTTCCCTCTTGGTCTAATATTTTTAATATAACATAAATATTAAAGTATTAGACATTTCTTCAACTTCCAGTACAATGGAAGCTTCAACAAAGGAAGTGGCTGGGCCAGAATGGGCCTCTGAGAGATTCCAGTAAACCCATAATGGGAATTGTAAGTTTTAATAATAAAGATCCAAATTAATGTCCCAAATATAATTATTAATAAATAAAGGAGAGATATTAGGGTTCAATAGGAGTGTTTTATCAGGTTAAGTATTAATGGCAGTTCTAATTCATGAACTACCACTATCATTTGCTGTCTTTGTAAACTTTGTGCAAATATCTAAAATATGGTTTCAAAAGTCTCAAAGTTTCCACATATAAAATCTACATATACATGTATGTGCACATATGTGTGTGTGTGTATCATCTGATAGCTTCTAAAACACTCTGCTTTTATCCCTTAGATTAGGTAATAAACTCCGACAGAGCAAGTGTAATGCTATCCAAGTTGAGAGTTATGACCTTAATTTAAGGAGTTCAGTGAAAGATTTTTTAAGATAATAAGGATGTGGTAATAATCCTGCCAAGTTTCTACTTACTGAGCTATAACAGAATAAACAAGTCCAAGTGAGGGCTTCACAGTTTTTTTGTTTGTTTGTTTGTTTTTTTGGTTTTTTTTTTTACCCAATAGTAAGCTCTCCTATTAAACAAAAAACAAATATTTTTTGAATAAAGGATGAATTTCAGATTTTGTTTTTATCAAAGTATGGCTGAGTGAAGGAAGGGAGGTACGTGTTTCTTTCTTAGGTATCAGTAAGAACAGGACAAAGAATAATGATAAAATTTATGAGTATGACATTAACTCAAGGAAGGTGATCAATTATGCTTTGCTACCATCAGGACATGATTCCAGGCAACTTCCTGAGCTAACTGAGGAATAAGGTACAAGGCACAAGGTCATAAAGGGTGGATATAGGGTACCAAAAAGAACAGAGGTGGGGTTCAAGGGCGGTAACTTAGGAGGCAGGGGACAATATCCAAAATGAATATGGGATTAAAGTGGAAACCTCACTGACTTCACAGTTTCAGGCACAGGACCTACCACCTTCAGGAGTGGTTGAATTCCAAATCCTACCAACAGGGTTCCTAAGAAGGAAGGTGACTCACTGCTTTCATCAAAAAACTGGGAGAGGCACTCAAGAAGTTAAAAATAGGTACCCCAGAAAGGCAAAAATAAGGGAAAAGAAGAAAATGCTTGTATTTGTCTCTGTATTTTCAAATTCAGAAAACTTTTTAAGAAACTAGAGTTATCCCATAGGATTACAGAGCAAACATCAAAAAATCCCTTTGGAATCAATTAGTGGCTATAAATATTTACCTAAGAAGACACAAAGATATTTAAGAGTTAAATACTTAAATTCAATGAGAATCAATAACAATCCTGTGAACACTGTGTTAATTTGTGTTTGGAGTTTTCTAAAGCTATTACAACATCAGTAAGCATCTGATAAATAAATGAAAAGGGTACTAGCAAGCTAAATATTTTGATCCCCATAAAGCATCTTCGATTTTATCTTCCAGCAGTTCAACTGAATAACTAGAATAACTAGATAACCAAAGAGACATTAGTACATTTAAGTGTAATTTTCACTGAAGCATAGCTAACTATTAAGATCATACTGAGTCTTCATGGGAAACGACTAATAGTTATAGTATACCTACTGTGAGTCAGACACTTCATATATTATCTCCGAAAATCTTCCCAACCACGGAAGTATGTGAGCATTATTTCTATTTTAAAAACAGGAACACTGACTGAGGCCGAGATTAACAAGCAGAGCCAAGAACAGAGCCCAAGCTTTTCTACTCCAATGAATGTCCCTTTTCCACAAAGAGTCTAAGTAAGAGTCATCTCCAAAGTAGCACTAGGATTCCTAAACATGACTTTATTAGATATTTGCATGGACACTTTTTCTGAGGAACTCCAACAGTAATGCAAGCCATGAGGAAAAACAAAAACAAAAACTCTTATAGAATTAATTTACTATTTAGGATGAAAACATATGAACAAGCTATATGTCTGCCCCAATATATAAACATTTGAGGCAAGAGTAGCAGCCATATTTAATAGGTGATAAGCACCTTAGAAAGATCTGGATGCTTTGTGCACACTTGATAATTACAGCCCAGTGATAATAAACATAGCTTCTTTTATAAGCCCATTCTTGTATGAACCTACTATAAGAGAGTGCCAACTGTACTCCTTTCCTACTACTCTTGATGGAAATGCGTAATTATTGAAACTATCAAAGTAAATGCATTTGAATGAAAGAAAATCACATTGCAAATTTGAGGACCATAAGTTTTGTAATGCACATGGATTCAGTAGTATGTTATAAATTGCCTGCTTTGGAAGAGGAAAAACTAGTTTACATGATAGCAGCTAAAATAACAACAGCTTAGTAGAAGTAGTTGACTCAGTTATTACATAAGTAAGCACTCCTACAGGGATGAACTGAGTGGTGGTTACAACAAAGTCTTAAATAAAAAATGAGACCTTTAAAATAGATACCAACTATTCTAAAGCTACAGAGAATGTTTGTTAATTTAAATCATGGCTCATAGGATTACATTTAAGAAGGCAGTCTTCCAAAATGACAAATCACACCTCAAAATCGCCTGCATAGACATGCAACCCTAGAGCTATGCAAGACCCTGAGTTGTCCTTCAGCTCTGGCCAACAAAAATATCAGTAATAAGTACTGCTCACATTCCACCTGCAGCATAGTCTAAATGAAGGTAAATAAGGCATTCATGCAAGAAATTAACACATGGCAGAAAATAATACTGAGCTCCAGGGTAAAATTCAGTCTTGTGTCAAAGTAAAAAATCAATGAATATAACTTAGAATATAAAATTCCCAACAGGATCTCATTACTATAATTCAGAACTTTACCCCAGGGACAATTTTTTAAAAAAAAAATATTTATATTATAATCATAGTTGAATTTTATCATGCTTTTAAATAAATTCTTTATTGTCTAGAACTGTTTACAGGAAAACTCTATCACTGTTTTTTATTTAGTCATTAAATCTCATTAATATTATGTATTTTTCTATTAACATTAGTCATTATTTTGGTTATTCCTAGTCCTCTGATTTACAATGTAAGTGAACATTCTGTTTCAATATGCTCAGTTTTCATTCCATTTTATAAATGGAAAATAATTTATCATATGCTCATCAGAAACAAATTTCAGATTATGAAACCATTGAGACAACTGTTGTAGGGATTCACTAGCAATAAATAAAAAAAAAATAAAGTGATCTAATTTTAAAAGACTCATAAACTGATGATGTTAACACAAGTCAACTAATTCTTCTAAGTGCTACAACTTGTTGTAATGCTTTGAGGCTGGTGTGCAGAGCCACAGAATAAAGTTAAACTGAAGCTAAAGTCTAAGAGTAAACTCTGTTGAGAAGAGTTTGGAGAAAGAGAAGATGTCACACAGCAACTTTTCATGGGTGAATGCCCAAAGTATAACAGGAGAAGAATTAATTAGTACCACACATAAAAGAGACAACTGCAAGGGAATTTATCATGATACTTCTTTTATCCATATTTTTTTAAACTCAATTAGAGCAAGAAATGCCTAGAGATGCTTCCAGAAGTTTGCAGAACACAGCTTATGTTAACATTTCTTATTTTTTAAATGTTTCTATATGATTTTCATCAATGACAGCCAGCTCAGCAGACTAAACTAGAACTTTTAGCTCCTGAGCACCAGACTCAGCATTCTCAGTTCAATGTGCTCTACAACTTTATCCTGGGTTGAGTAGTTTGTTTTTGTTTTTATTTTTCCCCTGTGTGTTTTTCTCTTGCTGTTATGTTATGTTCTGTCACAAATTTTGTTTTCTGATAAGCATCATAGGCCCATAACAATTGACAATTATAAGGAAGACCTGCTACCAGGAAACAAAGATGGTGCACAGCACAGGATTTCAGCACAATTGTGTTAAGATGGTTCCAAATTTCTACCAGGAAATAGTTAAATAGACATTAGGTAAAGAGCTTCAAGAAGTTCAAGGACAGGTGGAAACCTTCTGAACCTGAAGAACACCAACTTCTGAACTATGAAGAACACTGGTATTTGAAAGGCGGAGCTGGAAAAATATTTTGTATAAATGATAGCCAGAAGAAATTTTGCAGGCAGAATCAATACTGAAGAAAATCCAAAGACTGAACACATCTCCTCATAGGAAATATTCCAGACTTTTCAAATTGTACTCACTAACCAATTAGCAAGTGATAAAATAAATTTTGTGACTCAGGGACTTTTTCATGGAATAATAGGACAAAACTGAATAAAATAGAAAGTATTACAGATTATCATTCACAGTAAACTCTTGGCCATATTATTTTCAATTATGTTTTGGTGTGTCATATAATGTCTACCTATAGGATATAGTTTAAAATGAATGGAAGCCAATAACTTAAACAGAAACTTCTGTAAGTAGTGCTGAGTTAGCATTTCCATTTTTTTTTTTTTTTGGAATGAATTCCCCAGAGTAAAGGGATTAAGAGGATATGGAAATGAATCTGCTGGTGGTAAAAATCTCACCTTGAGGTCTATACAGGACAAAGAATTAATTTGCCTCTATATAGCAATGTCTGGTGTGCCTTGGGGAACACAGGACATCTGTGCGTTAAGTGCTAACACCACTCAGTATCTCTATCTTTGAGCTCTGATTTTGTTTCCTGTTTGGCACTCTGTGACTTCATTAGAAATGAAGACTTACCCAGAATAAAATCTCTCTTAATTGGTACCTTTACATTCTGCCCAGATCCTTCCAGATTCTTGCTTCCATATCCTTGATCCGTTTCCTCATACTTCCCAAGTCTAAGTGAACTGCTCTGAAAGTGAACTACAGGTGTAATACCTACCTCATATCATGAACTATAGCATACAATTCTTAGAATCCCCAGTTGCCTTATTCTAGCCACTAAAAATTTATTTTCTCTAAGCAAAGCTTGGGCATAACTATCTTCTTTGAATAGTCTAAGCAAGATTAATGACCATTCCTTTGAAAACCAGTCCTCCTTGTTTTGATCATTTCTGCAGAGCAATGCCCAATCTTTCTTCACAAACTTATACTGCTTAATTCTAAATATCTGAAAAGCCTGAGTTAAGGTATCTTCCTGACTTACCTTTAATGATTCCATATATGGACTCTACAACCAGTAGATTCTGGTTGTTCTTTGAGTTTGCATTAGAAAAGAAACACTTGTTTTTTTGTTTTTTTTGTTTTGTTTTGTTTTGTTTGTTTTGTTTTTTAAGGAACTGTCCTTACATGAGTTCAGGTTTTATAACAACTGCATGTTGCTCTTTCTCTGGCCACTTGACCAAGAAATTGTAAAAGCAATTGCAGTAAAGTACAAAGTACTAGAATAAACTTCTATGAAACCAAAGTAACTTTTGGAGTTTGTTTTCATGGCATTTACACTTTCTATTTCTCCTTCTGATTATTTTTAACTGATACACAAAATTGTACATATTTATGGGGTACCATGCTATGCTTTCCTTTTTATGATCTTTCCCATTAGTAGCAGGAATGATCTTATTCAACTCCAAGTTGTGGAATTTTGGCTAGGGATACTTTATGCTGTAAGCAACAGAAAACCCAGTGAACAGTAACTTAAAACATATGTTTTTTCTTACCATACAAGATAGGATAAATTGAATAGAAGAACATGGACTTCTATTACTGGTTTAGCAACTTAAAGACATCACAGGGCTGAGGGCTTGGGGTTATGGCTCAGTGGTAGAACGCTCACCTAGCACATGTGAGGCACTGGGTTTGATCCTCAGCACTACATAAAGATAAATAAATAAAGGTATTATGTCCATCTACAACTAAAAATATTTACAAAAAAAATTCAGGGATATGATTTCTGGGTTTCTTCTCACCTTTATGTATGTGTATTTCCTGATGGAGCTGGGTACAACAGTTACATGATAAAAATACAAAGGGTGCAAGGATGCTGGAAGGACAGTGTTAGCCATATCTGACCTCTTTCACCAGAGATACAAACTGGAGAAGACAGACTGGTCACATGGTCATATGTAGCTGTAAAGAAAGCTGTTAAATTGAGGGAAACGATTGTCAAGATTAACTGACATAGAACAATTCATTGCTTGTGGTAGGCACACTGATATGGAACAAATGGAGCTTTATTAAGAATGAGGGCAGGGCAAAAGAGTACCAAGTAAGGGATTCACAGAGTTTACCACTTCTTGTCACTTTCAGCTAAGAAACCAAAGGATCACAGAAATGTAAATATTTATCGCTTTTGTCATAAATAGTTTACATTTTAATGTGAAATTTAAGATACCATTATTTTTGATCTTTAGGTGATGACTGAGCAATTTTTAAGAGATATCACCCTTGTTTGAACATGTAGTTGTGCATTCTGTTTTCAGAATATAAACTAGAATAAATCACCCATGCAAGGACTGAATCTCAGTTTTAAAAGAAAGCTTTTGAATTTAATTAGAAGATTAAATGAAATATTACTGTACTTGGCACTCTGATACCTGGATTCCATTTCCAGTTTTACCCCTTACAAAGAGCAAAATCCTGGTCAAAACCTTTTGAAGAAATCAAAAAGAGCTAAGTTTGATTTAGTGATGATTAATCATCATTTATTGATGATTTAGTGATGATTTTTTTTCTAACTCAAAGTATAGGGCACAGTTTGGATCTCAAAAGTTACCCAAATGCTCATGTGTTGAAGGTTTGATGCCCAGCTGGTGGAGCTACTAGGAAGTAGCAGAAACTTTAAGAGGTAAGGTTGAGTTGAAAGAGGTGGGTCCCTTGGGATGGGTTCCTTGGGATGTGTCTTTGAAGGGGATATTTTGTTCCAGGCCCCTGGCTCACTCTCTCTGCTTCCTAACAGCTCTAAAGCATGCTCCCCACCATGATATTCTGCCTTCAGTTTTTTTTTTTTTTTTTTTACCCAATAGTAAGTCTTTTCTTTATCCAACACTATATAACTGAAACCTCTGAAATCACATGGAAAAATAAATCTTTCCTCCTTGAAGTTGATTTTCTCAGACGTTTTGTCACAGTGATGGAAAGCTGAATTTCCCAGAATGGTTTCAACTATCCAGAGTAGATCATGAGGTGACCTGGAATATAGGACAGAGACTAGACTTGAGCTTATCAAGCCATTATGTTAAAATGTCCTTAATGGCATACATTTCCCAAAATAGTAAAAGAAGACCAGAGGAGCAGAGGTGTTTTTTTTGTTGTTGTTGTTGTTTTTTTGGAGGGGGGTGTGGTGGAGACGGTGGTGTGCTGCTACTTGACATGTGGATCTAATTGCATTTTTAGGAGTGGCAGTATTATACAGTAACGACAGGCCTAATGGCACTTTCTCTAGAAATTAACTGGGTACCAGTTTCAATTTTTAATCTATTTTTAAATTTGAGTAATGATAAAAGAATATCCATTTTGATTGAAGAGATTCACAGGTTAGAAAAACTGTGAGATAAGTTCAGAGACATGTTATTTCCACTAGAATAACAGTATTAACTGTTATTCTGTGAAAAACTATATAATAGATTCTTAAATTGCAGGTAGAGTTTATAGAGGTAAATGATAAAATTTAGTGGCACACAAATAACAATACTTTAACATAATCAGTCCAAACACTGAAGTCTTGTTTAATTCCTGCCAATTAATCAATATATTCCACTGTAATTTATGTGTGCATTTAAACATTAATATGATATCTTTAAATTACTTCTTCCCTTCATTTTGTATCTTCCTTAAATGATAGCACATTGTAGATATAATAAAATTTAGATTTTATCGATGTTAGCATTATTATTTTAGGACTCCTTTCTTCATGTGGCATTTTTTTTTTCCTTCACCATGGTAGATATTTCTATGTGGAAATTTTATTTTCCTTTAGCTTTCTGTTTAAAATGTTTTGTGCATTTATTTTGTTCTTCATGTCAATATATAAAGGCAATAATAGGAGTAATTAATGTTTTGCTATTTTGCATCTAGTTTATGCAGAATAGTCATTTGATTATCAAATCCATCCAGGATCTGAAATTAGACCAGTTCTGCAGCTGCTCTCTTCTAGTTTCCTATAATGCATGTTCCTTTCTTTGAAACTGCTGTTTTCCAATGTGTGTGATGTACAATGCTCAGAATGCATCTTCCAAAAAATGTGGTTTCTCTTTCTGTCTTCAAGGCCAAAATGAAAAGACAGTGTATTGAGCTTTTTAGAATTAAAGTGGTGCTGTTAGTGCCCACATATTTTTGTGATAGTGAATGCAGTCAGTAGCTTTGTCAATTTGGTTGTCACTGTCACACAAGACTTTCCAGATGTTGAAATGCAGAAATGTCACAAAATGCCAGGACAAGAATGCAATTTTTTTATTCTTTTATTTTTGGTCTATTTTTCACATTAAAGAAAAGATGAACAAAAGAATACCCATAGCAAATACAGCCATACACTCATATACCTAAGTAAAAAGTACAAGCATATACAGAATATTCCCAGTGATTAGAAAGCAGCATGATATACATGGTTGGACAATTAAACTTTAATATTTGAATTATAAGAGGATCTTGTGCTATGTTAGAACTCAGACAAACTTTACCTGTCTTGTTAAATGACATCATGTAACTGATAAAGGAAGTTACAACCTATTTTTCTACATAATGTATAGTATTAGAATATAATTTTCTTTTTTAAAATAAAATAAAAAAACTTTTCTAATGACATATCACAAGATTTTTATTAGTACTAAGCTTTAACAATTTCTACTCCTACACTTAACATATTCATAGTCACAAAACAACATTTGAAGTTCAAAGGGGGGTGGATTAGAAATTACTTCTATATACTGACAGTTTATCAACATATATGATGATTTTCATTATCATAATAATATCACATGCATGCATGTGCAGGGGGAAGGAATATATTATATTTTTCAATGTTGCTTTATAAAATAATGAGTTAGCAATAACCATATAAATGGCAAGCAAAACTTGGGACAATCTCCTAATTTTCACTCTCCCACAGGAAATGCATCACTGCATGAAGATCCTCTATAGCAGCATTTATTTTAATAATAATGATAATGATAATGATAATAATAGAAAAGATTAAACGATTTCAATTGCATGTGTTTGTTTCTGGCTCCAAATCAAGTTTTCACATAAGAACCTAACAAAGTCACCTTTTTAATTCATTGAACAGAGCTTCCTAATTTTGTTTGAAAATTCTGCCTTTTCAGAAAACTATTCAAACATTACTTGGAGAAAGAAACTACTGCAGAAAATCAATTTAGCAACTCTTGTAGAGACTTCTGACAGCACAACTAAGGCATCACATTTCAGAGGCGTTTCAATGACTTTATTTAAATTTCAGAAACAAATTGATTTTAAAGCACTGTCATGGTGACTGACAAAAATAAATTCTGAATGGAAATTCCTTTCTAAAAAGTACTATGGTCCAATCAAATTAAGAAATAGAAGCCAGCTTATTTATTACAGTTGTTTTCTTTAAGATCATCTACAGCAATCATAAAAAATTCTTGGATCTTCACATGACCATTTTAAACCTCAAGAAGAAGACCAGGTGCTCAAGAAACATTGAATCTAGTGAGAAAGAAGGAACACGCACATAAAATGAGAAGTCATGGCACACCGCACAATATTGCACATAAAATAAATGGCCTAGAACATAAGTCCTATAAAAACTGAGGAAAAGGAGGGTTTACCCTTAGCTGGAGTAGTGGGGGATGATTTTATGGTGGACTTGAGCTTTGATGTGTGTGTGAGAAAAAGGATGGTACAGTTCTCATAAGTACCAAGGAGAGAATGGTTATTAAAATCGGGGACAATGGTGTGAGCAACACAGGTGGAACAAAATACAAAACACAACCAGAGGCATTAAATAGTCCTACTTAGCCACAGACAAGGGCTCAAAGTAACCAATGATATGATAAAATTGAGTAGTGAAAAAATTAATTTTAAAGATCTTCCAATGCTAGTGTAAGGGATTATGGATTTTTACATACGTTCACAAAATTTTTGTGAAGTTACTGAAGATGTTGTTGAGTTCAGATACCCATGTCTAGGTCCCACCCTCAAGATTCCGATTCCAAAAGGCTGGCGTTGGAGCCTGTTTTTAAGAGGATCCACAGTTAGAAATGATGATGGACCTCACGGGCATGTGCACTGTGTAGTCCCACAGGTTCCATGCTTAGTTTATTACTTGGCTATAACCATCATGAAATTCCTGATAATTTTATCAAAAATATTTTGTCTGCAGCCGTTCCTTATCATTCCATTCCTATATACTGTTTAACATGGCCTATGCATGGAATTGCAGTGGACCCAAAACATGTAAGTTTGGCAAATCTCAAAATGAATTGAAGCCCAAGTGCCATGCTTGAGACTGAGGAAATAGGGGTGCTGATGGGCCCGAGAGACCATGCTTTCTCCTTGAACCAGAATTTGCTTTAATGAGAAAGAAAGCAAAGACATTTTAAGTGATAGAAGCCACCAAGTCTGTGCCGTATCCTTCCTTGCTTATACTGCTTCTCCAGCTAACCATCTACACTGAAAATGACATACAAGGAAAGAGAAAGAGAACCCAAAGTTCTTCTACCTTCAAGTCTTTGATATTCATCTGTAAGCTGCATAAAAGAGTCAGTGAAATGAGAATGTAGCAAAAAGTTGAACGAAAGTAGATGAGGAAATTTTGTGCAACATTTATACTAGTCTGTTAGGAAATTTATATATGTATACATACATATGCATACATAATAAGTTACAGAATACATATTAACATCAATGTTTCTGCATAATTTAAAAGGTCTTATACTTGCATTTAGAATGATCACTGTACACTAAAATTCACGGTAACAATTTAAAATTTAAATTTTTCTTAGCACAATATTAAGTAGAAAAAAATGACAGTTGAATGAAAAACTATGACAGATCTGAAAATTTTTAATATTCTAGTTTCTTTAGTGGCACTTTTATCTGCTTTTGAACAAGGGACCCCGTGTTTTCATTTTGTACTTGGCCCTACAAATTATGTGGAAGGCTCTGCACAGACAACTGGGATCATCAGGGCTGGAAGCTACTTGTAGAGGTGACAGCAAAGTATTTGAAAAGGGAGACTGTTCATAAGGTTTATTCCATAGAGGCCGGTTGAAGTAAGAAAGAAAAATGTAAGGAAACCTGTTGAATGTGTTCATTAGAGACTTGTAAAAAACAAAGACTTTCTCTAGGTCACTGTGAAGGGAGAAGAAAGAAAATTAAAGGGGAATCTAAAGAAGTGTTGCTACTCAAAATAGAAGGAGAAGGAAAGGAAAAAACTGAAAAGTGACTTCTAAATACTGAAACCTCAAGTGACTGGCTAACAGCAATGCTATTAAAAAAAAAAAAAAAAAACAGAAAATGCAATGAAGAGTATTTCTCCACTGATCTGATGAACAATACAGCAGAAGAGAAGAAAAATTTGGCTAGATTTTAGGATCTCTATGGAATTAAATAAATTCATTAGGATAGAGAGGTGAAAGAGAAGGCAAATGCCTATGCCTTAGCCACTTATCACAGCATAGGAAGCAGGAGCAAAAAGAGCAGCTAGTCCTTCTAATGGAAACTGGAGATGGAGTATCCTGAGGCCTACAGAGAGCTAAGATGGCAACCCTCAGTGAAAGGAAGCTGGAAGTCAGTGTATTTCAGAATAACTGGGTAGAGCAATGTTGCGTGCCACAGAGTAAAAGATGTTAGAAAAAAAACAACAGTGTTTTTTGAATTTTTAAGTATACACTGACAAGTGACCATAGAAGAAGCAATTTCCAGAGAGCTGCTTTTCAGAAATTGTCAGACTGGAGAGAGTTTCAAGATAGAGTGGGCAGTGAGTGGGCGGCCTAGATGGTACTGTTCACTTCTGAGTTGTGTGTTGTTAAGAGTTGTGTGTTGTTAAACAGAAGAGAGGTGAGCAGCATTTGTAGAGGAAATGAAAATTTTCTTTCAAGATGAACGATTAATGTCTGTATTTGCATTTTTATTGTTATTTTTATGTTTTATCCTATTTTTATAGAATACTGTATCTTGACTTAATCTAGCAGTACATGGATGGAGGAATGGCTGGAAGAAACAAAGAAAACATTATGAAGCATGAAGAATTATATAGTCTTTTCCTTATCCAATACTATATAACTGCTGTGTCCAAACTGACAGTAAGGAAAACAATGAAAATAAATGTGTTGCCCTCAGTGAGCTTGTAGTAGGAGATATATTTTAAATTCCACTGATAATTAAATAACAAGTAAAATCTAGTAAAGAGCATAATGAAATGAACAACTAAATAAGAAAACTTTTTATATTTATTTTTTAATGTTCTGAAATATGATGTTTAATTTTCTGAAATTTCAGTAGAGAATGAAGAATGGATACACAGGAAAGGTCACTCGGGGATAGTGTCAGGAAGGGAAGAAGAAAGAAAGAATTAAAATACTGATACCTGTTCTTCAAAGAGCAGCAAGAAAGAGCAGAGAACTTGTGGAGTACAGAGCCATGTAAATGAGACAAGGATCATCTATATTGAACTGTTTCAGATGAAGGAACTCAGAGCCGAAAGCTTTGATGTCTCAGTGAGTTACAGGTAACCTCTGCTACCAAGAAGGAAGACAAGAACATCCGCGACAGACGCAGAAAGGGAAGATCAGTAGGACTTCTGACCTTCTGCCTGGGGTGCCCTCCTTCTCCTTCTCAGGCAATTTATTTATGCCAGGTTCCTTTTTTTTTTTTTAAGTTCTATGAGATTGAATTAAAGCACATAGTTACTTTTAAGTGCTCTTTTTTTTTCTCTCTCTCTTGAAATCAATCACCTGACTGACTGGATACAATAATCACCCTCCTTTCTGAATTTCCATTATTCTTAAAGCTTGCTCTACATGGTTCTACCTCCTCTTCTGCTCATTCCTATAGTTGTTTTCATTCTGATTCTTGTCTGCTTCTGATTTGAATCTCCTCAAGGACAGGGAAGCATATCTTATGCTTAATCTGTGTCTCTCCAAGACCCTACAATAAATATTCCCAGGTCAGCAGACAGGAGAGGAAGAAGTATTGTAAACATATATAAAGAAAAGATTGCTCTCTTATCCATCATTCTAGGGTGCTTATTTTACTAAATCGTGTACTGACTATATTGCGGTATTTGCAAAAACAAGTGTCACAGCAATAATAATAAATTCAAAGTCCATACTGCAGAGTTGAAAGTGAGTTTTCACAGCACCAGTTTTCAATATAAGAAAAAATTCCTTTAAGATACATTTTAAACTCTAAGGACAGAGTAGAGTCCAATTACTCAGTAGCTAGTATAATCAAGAAAACAGGATTATTATATGTTCTATTCCCAATTCTACCATTAGTTCTACAAAGGACAACATGAAATTAAGAAAATCAGGTTAAATAACTGTCATCTAGATAATTCAAATCAAAATGTATTCCGACTAAATCTACATTTAAAACTGTTGCGAACAAAATAATATGTACAAATAATTCTGACCAAAACCTGCTTGTTGTAAAATAACCAATAATTATCAGTAAAATTATCTCAATTTGCATCTGATTTGAAAGTATTGTCTAACACTTAGGAAAGATTTAACAGTGTTGACTGTCATTACCTAGTTTCAAAGGACAGTTACTTCAAATTAATTTGAATTTTGTAGAGTTATACGTCAGTCTTGGTTTTCAATGTTGGATGAACTGAAACTATTGAGGCTCACTATGAAATGCCATACAATTATTATTAGATAACAAGTGACAAGGATCTGCACCAGATATGCATAGCATACTAAAGTGAGGGACATGAACATCTTTTCACTATGTCAACTAGTAAATTTATTTGATCCTCGATATAATCAAGTTAATCAAATTAATAGCAGAGTATATAGTTTATAATAGATTTATCATTTAGGTTAGCTTATCATCAAAGTGTCTCAGCACGTGGATTTAAACATAAATACATAAAAAGTTGGAATATTTTTCCCTTTAATTTGACATGAGCTAATGCATAAAGCAGTCTCGAAAAAAACATGAAGCAAAGCTCTTCCATCTCTTTCTCATTTCTGCATAGAATCCAATGGTAACCACAGACCAATCTTCCTCCTTTTCTGGCTAGAAGGGGTAAAAAAGGCCAGGCTAAAAGGTACACAGGTCTTATATCGGGAAACCCATCCAAAAAGACGTGCCAACAAACTATAGCTCGCATGCTCTAGATCCTTGTTCACTCTAGCATATCAATCATGCATTTATTCTTTTTTTTTTTTTTTGCTGAACTATAAATTCCACAGTTCAATGATTTACTACTATGAGAACATGCAGCCGACAACCAGGTGAGGAACATCACAGGACACCAGAATGGCATCTTCGTGTTGTTCCCAGTCCCTTCTATGTCCTTCATCTCCCACAAAAGTTTGTCCTGATTCTGTAACTTTGCATAAATAAGACCATATAGAATGGAGCTTTTTAATGTTTCTCTCTCCCTCTCTCTCTCTCTTTCTTTTGGGGGGGAAAAAGGGAAATTTGTCCAAGTCATTACCCATAGCTACATTTTGTTTATTTATTTTACTGTACAAAATTCTGTTGTATTAATAGAGAACAATTACTTTATCAATTATTGATAGAAATCTGGGTATTTTTCCCAATTCTTTACCTATAATGAACAAAGTCACTGGGGACATCCTTGTTTGTGTCTCTGGGCAAACATGCTTAGGCATTTCTGTTGGACCAGAAATGAAATCACTGGGTTATACAGTAGACTATGATTTACTTTAGTAAATGTTGCTGGACTATTTAAATCACTTCCCTGTCTTACCATCATTAAGAGTATATTATTTGTAGGCTGGGGTCGTAGCTTAGTGGAAGAGCACTTGCCTAGCACACGTGAGGCTCTGGGTTTGATTCCCAGCACCACATATAATAAATAAAATAAAGGTCCATTCACAACTGAAAATATCTATATAAAATATTAAAGTATTATGCATTAGAAAAGAGTCCATTATTTGATATTTAAAGAATTATTCACTGTGTGCCCATTATATTCCAAAAAAAAATGTTAATTTCTCATGCCCACAAAGGAACAAAATCTTTCCATGAGAATTTTTCAGTCATGTAGATGTAACAGACATAAAAAAGGAAGTACAAACAAAGAGGAATCCAGGATTTGTATTAATAATATAGAATATAAAGAAATATTTTGAGGATGGGGATGTAACTCAGTGGTAAAGTACTTCTTTGGCCTGCTTGAGGCCCTGGGTTCAATCCTCACACAGAAAACAAAACAACAATTAAAGAAGTGATGATTTTATTTCTGCCTCCATGGAATTCATGTGATTAATGTGCTCATACTGGTTGTAAATGACCATCTTCATAAGGCAAAAGGTGGGCATCAATGACTGAGTAGCTAAACCTACAGAAGTCAGGCATTTTCCTAAAAATGACAACATTGACATTGGTCTTGAAAGATGGTTTTCTACCATGGATACCAAGAAGGAAGGAGCTTTCTGGGAAAAAAAAATATTTGAGAGCAAAATTATTTATCAGTATGCCACAGTTAGAAAATTGGAACAGAAAATTTCTTCAGTGATGGCTACAGCACACCAGTGAGCAGCATGTGAGCAACAGAAGCAGCTTGTAAGCCAGGAAAGTTAGACTTGGAAACCAGTGGAGGAGCAGGCAAGTAAGTGGTAACAAAAAGATGACTCTACTGGGGGCCAGGGTACATCCACAGGTGGTGGAAAGACAAGAGTTCTCAATGACTCTGAAAGCCTAGCACCAAGGAGAAAGAATGTGTTGGAGTTGCTGGACAAGACTTCACAGAAGCTACCCTTGATCAAGTTCCATTTTGAGCATCTCAGGTAGTAAAAGGAAGAGAAGGCTAAGATTCATTCTTTAAGAACCAGATGGCAGAACACCTGTAGGAGGACATGCTTGAGCAGACGAGCATGCCGCATAAGTCAGTAGCAAAGGAAATCCAGGCTCTAGCCCCAGGAGACATGTGATATTTACAGGGTCACTAGCTCTCCAGCACATTTGGTTATTACTGACCCCATTATATGGCCATCTTCTCCACCCGCAAAGAATGTACACTCAATAATTGAAGCATGAAGAGTAGACAGAAGATGAATGTGATTTCTTGAGCTAAGAGGAGTGCCACAGGGAAACCCTAACCACAGTAGCCATATCCTCTGCATGGCCATCTTCTCCAGTTTTTTGATTGAGCAATCACAGCAAGTTTATTCTCATTTGAGAGGCCCAGAGTTTCGGGTACCTATACACCTGCATGGAACACAAGAACTTCAGGATTGTCATTCCACGGGCATCCACCAGCTCAGCAACACATCCTCCAAGAGCTCTGTGAAGGTATAGAATATGAATAGTTGAGAATTATTATGAACAGATACTTATCAGGCACCAGAATATTGTGATTGCACTGGAAGCCCTGACTTGGGAGTGAAGGCTGAGAGCTTGGGGCTCTAATGGGATTGTGCAAGCATGGAAGACACTCACTTATCTTCTGACTGCATTGATCTCCTCAATAAAAAGCAACAGTGTTTGGCACAGAATATGGCTCTGTGGCCTTATGGAACATCTCCAAGAGGCAACCACTTACCCAGAAGTGTCAAGTTCATGTGCTACACAAGGAGCCAGGAATAGAGCAGCCCTACTCATCATGGACCTTGGGGCCACCGGTTCCCTCAACTTCTGCATGCTGCTCTGGCAGTTTGGAGAGAGCTTGCAGCAGCTTGAATTTCCCTGCAATGCCTGCCCACCTCAGCCAGTGGGTTTTATCAACAGCCTGAAGTTCTCTAATACTGGGGGATTCCCTAGTGCCTGGGGTGGGGCAGGAGCACAGGTTTGACTGATGGTGGCAGATAAAAGAGACTGGTTAAGTATCTGCATCCTCCTACCTCACAGGGACTCCAGACTCCCTATTGCTTGCTCCTGACACTTTAATTCTTCTTCTTTAAATCCCTCCAAGGTCATGCCTCTCTTTGTATTAATAGCTCCCCCTTTAAAAAAAAAAGAAAGATAGAAAGAAAAGTAGGACAGCAGAGCTGAGATGTAGATTACAAGTGATAAGGATGAAAATATTATATAATAAAGGTTAAGACCACAGAAGACTCTACTAAGGATTTTGGGCTAATTTCATAGATAATGAAGAACCATCAAAGGGCTCTTAGCAGAGGAGCAAAATGATCAGATTTGCAATTCAGAAAGAATACTACGGTTTGGGGACAGGATTAGAGAGGCACCTACTACAATATTAAAGTCCCAACACTACTTAAAATGTCACACTTACAGTTGAAGAGAAAGATGATGATGGTGAAAATTATACAGCAATATTTGCAGAGGGGAGGAAGAAATAATCAACATAATGTTAATGAGTTAGAATTGTAGGTATTTTGACCGTGGAAATGTACAGGGAAGCATTCCTCTGGTTAGCAAACTCCCTGGGGGTAACAGGTGCTCTGTTTTCCATTTTTGGAATGCCCAGCAGTTTCTCCTTGAAGCTAGTAAGATAACTAATACAGGTGCAGTATCTAGTAACTAGGGTAATGTCCTTAGAGAAAAAGGATCTGTGTCTTAATCAGTCTGGACTTTGACCTCAGTTATCCTGGGATTAAAGGAATACTAAATAATAATGTATTCATGGCACTAATGACCTAATGTAACTTTTGATATAAATAAACGTGGCTTCTTGGAGGGGCAGCCTCTTCTTTTCCTGCCTCTAAATCTTGTTTCTATGTCTCCTTTTATTTTCCTTACAACTAGGGGCACAAGAAAAGTTCTCTCACTATACATCTTCCCAATCCACAGAGAGTTTCAGACAACAAAATCTGCCCTAATAGAGACACCACTTCTGGACATTGACAGGTAATGGAGAAGGGAGTAGCTTACTTATGCCAGGAACAGGCTTTTGACGCACATCTTTCATTGGCTGGTACCAATTCCTAGTCAGAAAGCTATGGGTAATTCTCTATCTGATGCTCAATAATGTCATAAGGCAGAACTTTTCTCTCCTACTTAGCAAGGCTGGGCATACCATAAATAATGCTGATTTTGCTGTCCTGCTGACAGAGATAGACTCTTATTGTCCTTTTTATGCAGAAAGTGGGTCACTAAATTTGAACGATTGGGAGAAGATAGGTGAAATGCTTCATGATGAGCCTTGAGCACCTATACTTGCGTTACAAGCTTAGTTTCTTTGTTGTGACGCTATTAATTAAGTCCTCTGTTTCTCAAACTGCCTGTTCTTTTCCTCCTGTGCCCAAGCATGTGGCCCCTTTAAACCATTTGTAGCTGCTGCCACTACAGCAGTGTAGCTACAGCAGCAACAAGCAGCCACTAGTTGTGGCAGGGCTCCATTAATTAATTAACTGCCATTGCCTCTGTGGCCAGCTGTGGCAGCCACACCAATAGCAGTAACTGAGTGTTTGGGACAAGCTGTGGAGGAAGGGGACTCTCATAACTTAGCTATTTGTCTCAATAAGCAAAATTCATATGCTAACCAACCAGCATATGAACAGTTACTTTTTGCTGCATTTAAAGAGTTGCAACCTACCGACCCAGAGCAAAAGGAAGGGGGATCCATTTTTCCACCTCCCCCCCAAATCATCTGTTGCTCAATTGATGGTAATTCTCCATGTTTCAGCTCAACAACCTTTAAATGAAAGGGAAAATATAAGGTTTTACTCTATTATTATTGGTACATGTTTATCAGTTATTTAAAGTAGACCTAAATTTACTTTTTGTTTAAATGAACAGTCTATTACAGGGTTATTGGACACAAATACTAATGTCATAGTAATAATTACTTTTATGGTATGGTCTCAGGCACAGCGTCAAGAGGCCACCCAGGTCTGGGGCAGAGAAAACAAAAATAAACAAGTGTCCAAAAGCTCCCCCTGGCTACCATGCTCTATCTTTTCCAATCCACAACAAATCATTACTTATATTCAACCATATGTGGAAACTATTACAAGATTTAAAACAAAAAGAAAAGAAATAACTCTCCAGAAAGAATATAAACTACAACACCATGCTATAAGAGAATAGTTTTATTCTAAAAAATGGTTACAACAGTTTTCCTTACTTTTTAACTTCTGCTGGATCTCTAATTCCTAACCTTTCTCATATTAATAATGGTTTAAATATTATTTTATTTACAGTTAATGCACTCAACATCCAAAACAAAGTTAATACTCACAATTGGTCATTTTCTTTGGATAGACATTTTATTCTCAAACAGCCATTACCAAAAATTTATGTAAAATATAGGGTTCCACCAGACCCAGGATGATAATACCCTATGCCTCTGATCACATGGAGAAAAGGATAGAGGGTTGTGTTTACACCACCAAGACCTGTTTGGATTCCACCTCAACACATAAGACTTGTCAAGTACGAGTTGGCATCAGGGACTTCACAACCCAATCCCCAAGTTCCATTTGACTCTGGATGAGCAGAATTTCACTGAACCAAAAGATGATTACTGTCTTCAAAAGAGAAGGAACACTAGAAGAAGGCCCCAAGATACTAGAACTCCTGTGACTTGGGGAGATATAAAATCATTAACAGCCTCAGCTCAGCAGCTGCTGGCTCAAATGGGATTAGAATGCATTCTAAAAAATTTGGTTACTGCTTTATTTGCTAAACTTACACAAAACTCTGTAAATATTTTGATCCTTATGATAATGTTGTTCTGCTGTTGTACCCTAGCCATGGGAAATTCAGTACAGTCAGACTCCTTAACGTCTAGAACCCATTACAATATCTGGATAATCCTGGCTGAAACTGTTAAAACTCGTCTGAGATTTGCACCCACCAGGATATTAATATTGGAAGTATATTGGGCTCCTGTCTGCTTACTGTGTGCCATCCTGCACGCAAAATTGTGAGTATGACAATGTTTTCCAAGGGAGGCATCCAAAAACCTATATCCTATAAAGATTCTTAAAATTGGGGAAATCCTCAGTATGTTAAGCCTTCTAATGCTATGATGTTACTTACTCCCACTGTTGCTATAAATGCAACTGAAACTTGTGTTGAAATTCAAGTCTGTATAAATAGATACGTTTCTTTAGGATGAACCTCATTTAATTTTACTAAGATAGAGCCCATTATGTATGGAAATGGTTATATCCCCTTCCCACCAGGATGGTTCTTTCCTTGTGGAACATATACTTTTCATTATATGCCTGCTATTATGTCTCATAGTACCCATTGTTGTCTGAGCAGACTGTGTTCCTACCATCCCCACAGGATTTGATGGACCACCATCCTGCACAACATTTCCATAAAAGGTTTATTTCCCTTGATGAAAACTGTGATGATTCAGTAAACCTTCTCTCTAAGGCAGAATTTGACATTTTTCTTCCTGAGTATCCCTGGACTAGTTGTCATGGCTTACAAAACAACTATGAAACTGGCCTGAACTATGGTAAAAAATATTAATCATACCTCTATGGCAATTAGTATGCTTAATGAAGAACAAAAACAACATTGTCAAGCCATTCTTGAAAATTGGGTTGCAATTGAAAATTTATTATTATCTCATCATAAAGGATGTCAAGAGCTTAATAATATTTGTTGCTTCAACTTAAGTGATAATAGTAGTTCTATTTCAAAGGAGTTAGATTACCTGGAAGACATCATTAAAAAGGTCCAACAAGATGATGAATGCTTAGATATATTGGACTGGCTCACTTTGTGGTTACTTAATTTTATTTGGATTAAACGATTTTTCATACGTGGATGTCCATTAGAATTGGGATTGTTATGTTGTGTTTGCTGTTATCAATGCCTACCCTATTATTTGTCTCCTCCAACATAAGGAGGAAACAAATGTTATTCATCCAAACAGCCATATAAAACATAAAGGGGAGCTGTAGGTATTCTGACTGTGGAAAGGTACAGGGAAGCATTCCCCTGGTGAGCAAACTCCCCGGGGGTAACAGGTGCTCTGTTTTCCACTTTTGGAATGCCCAGCCTTTTCTCCTTGAAGCTAGTAAGATAACTAATACAGGAGCAGTATCTAGTAACTAGGGTAATGTCCTTAGAGAAAAAGGATCTGTGTCTTAATCGGTCTGGACTTTGAACTCAGTTATCTAGCACCTGGGATTAAAGGAATGCTAAATAATAATGTAGTCATGGCACTAATGACCTAATGTAAATTTTGATATAAATAAAGGTGGCTTCTTGGAGGGGCAGCCTCTTCTTTTCCTGCCTCTGAATCTTGTTTCTGTGTCTGCTTTTATTTTCCTTACCCAGAATCAACAGGATATTGCAAGAATTAAAAATGTGGTTTGAAGAAAAAATATTCTTTTTTTTTTTTTACTTTAGTGACTAGGTAGATGTGGATCCTGTTTGTCCAGATCACGTAAACCATGAGAGAATACTATTTAGAAGTAAATGATGTCCAGTGACATCCATATGAAAAGATCTAGATTACATCAAGCCACAAGATATATCAGATATCATTAGTTCTCTCCCCTAGTATTCATTATCTTTTTCTCTCTTTAATTAAAAACAAACAAAGCTATAACTGAGCTCATGGCGTCTCAATTGAAAACTGCATCTCCCAACCTCCCTTGAAGGAAGGCATGGCCATCTGATCATGTTCTGAACAATGGGATTTGTACAAAAACAACATCTGCAAGTTATAGATACCTTAGTAAGAATGACTGAGCTCTCCACTTCCTCTCCCTTCTCATTAATGCTAAAAGGAATGTAGTGTTGTTGACACATTTTTACCCCATGAACAAGGACAATACATCTATGAATGGTAGACCCAAAGAATGAAGATTCATCTTGAGGAACAGATTTGCTGCCCCAGCTGTTTGAATATTACTAGATAAATAAGCATCTATTTTCCTTCTGCCACTTTGTCTTTTGATCTGTTGAAACATGTTAAATTATGTTCTATGTACCTAAAGCTAGAGATGGAGAAATGTGGGATATTCCACCAATCCAGGAACCAGATTATAGCTTTAAATTCCTCAACGGTGAGTATACAGCTTACCACTTACATCAGAAAATATGGTAAACATATCTTCAAAAAACATATTTACTCTCAATGAAGAGAGTTTCATTAACTAATATAAGGCTTTCTGACTATCTTCATTGTGCAAAGATATAAAATCCCCAGGAACCTAACAAAATATTTTTATGATAAATTTTAAAATCTTGGTTAATATTGCAGGGTCAAGATTGTAGTTTAATGGTAGAACACTTACCTAGTATGTATGAGGCCCTGAGCTCCATCCCCAGCACTGAGAAAAAATAGGTAGATGAATAGGTAGATAGATACATAGATAGATAGACAGACAGACAGTGGTTACAGGCAAGGGACTGCAAAGAATTTAGTGACTTAAACAAAACAGACTTTTTTCCCCCACTTCCATTTATTTATGCTAAGGGTCAAGGTTAATGGGAGCTATTCCCAAGAAATATTGAGACATTTATATTCCTTATATAGTCATTTTCTCCAGTGTCAAATGGTTCCAACCTGTAGAAAAGGAAAGGGTAAAGTTCTAAAGTCTTGGAGCAGATGTTACATAGCACTTAGGCTCTCATTTCACTACTAGGAATTTCATCATATGGCCACATGTTAATGGTAAAGAATACTGAGCCTTGGGCCTAGGAAGAAGAGTACAATAGATTTATGTGGACAGCTGTCAGCTTCTTCCACAGTAGGATGAGCAAGGGGTCTAAGAAAAGGAAGAAGATGAATGTGAAAAACTGGGTTTAGTTACATGTACAAAGGTTGACAGGAGATGAACTAGTGGTAAGAGAAGTTTTTAGCAAGCCCCTTGTTTAGGTAAAGAAAGCATTAATATATAGTCTGAAACAAAGCAATGACCAAAAAAAAAAAAGAGGTAAAGTTTGGGTAATATCTCTAAAAAGAGACTACACATAGTGTGGTTGGAGCATGGTGAAAATGGAAATGATAAAAATACTCAAAGTTCTACCTTCAGTAAATAAGATAATGAACACTGCAGTGGGAATCTAGAGGAATTCAAGAGTTACATTTAACACATGGTGCTTAAAAACAGACCTGGATCACAAACAGAAGTTGCAAATAGTTTTCTGGATATGCATAAACACATGAAGCTAGTGATATATACAGCTCTGGATACAACCTTGTACACAACTAAGAAGAGCAGAGCAAGAAGTATAGCAAATGAAGATCCTGATCTGAATATCTGTGCCCCACCACAAACGTTTTGAATTGAAACATAACCATCAATGTGATGGTGTTATGAGGTGGGGCCTTTGGGAATGATTAGGTTATGAGGGTGCAGCCCGCATGAATGGAATTAGCACCATATACCAGAGGCCCCAGAGACAGCTACCTAGCCCCTTCCACCATATGAGGACCATGAGAAGGTACATCTATAAACCAGAAAGTGGGCCCTCATGAAACACCAAAGATGCTAGCACCTTGATCACAAACTTCTCAGTTTCTAGAACTGTCAGAAATAAATTTCTATTATAAAAGTCATCCAGCTTATGATATTTTGTTATAGCAGCCTGGACAGTGTAAGTCAGGTGAATGGTATGTGAAATGCCAGCACTTGAAAGAGAGCTGAAAAGAAGAATGAGTAGGGGAAACAAACAAAAAAGATCAGAGGGAGACCTTTGAAGAGAACACAGAAATGTTAGGAGCAGAAAGAAGCTCACCCAGAATTGTCTCCTGCACCCTTAATAATGCAGTTGGGGTATTGATTTCAAAACTATTTCATAGACAAACCTAACCAAACCACAAATACTAGTTTTAATCTAGTCTTTATGACTTTTTTTTTTAATTTACAGAGGACAACATGCAGTGTAATATATAACAAAACAAGAAAGTGGTATGCCTTATACAAGTATGCTTCACACAGCTACGAAACAAAACCAAACCCCCTTTACAAATCAGTCAGAGTCTTTTCATAAGCAGGTTTGAACAGATGCCCAGGAGGCAAGTGCAAATTGAAAACAGTTCTAGTCAAATCCACTTTGTTTTATAGCTCTTGGACATTTCTAAAATATTGCTAGTGTTTCCGGATCCAGTGTCTTTTTATTGGGGGTTTGATCCTGAGATCCTTTGGTTGAATACAAATTCTTTAAATACAATGTTTTATTTTCAAACTTTGTATTGAGAATTAGAAAAAAAAAAGAGCTAATTGACTTCTACAGTCAAATCATTCACTCAGTTGAAAAATATATATTATACTTATGAAGAAAATTAATACATTAAATAAGCACACCCATTATGGCATACATAATAGAAAAGATGGTCATTTTGACAAATAATTAAGGAATCAAAGAAAATTAAGTGGGCGAAACTCAGTAAATTGTAAGAGTGATAGCTAAAATTAACATGTCTATTCTTATGTATTTTTTAGTTAATTCTTTGACTAGCTCTAAGAAGTAGTTACTCTTGAAGACCACATCAATAGAAAAAGAAAATCAAATGCAGACATTAAGGCTCTTGAGTGATATCATCCAATAAGGAAGACTCCCAAGTATTCCTATTCCTGAACCCACAAATTTAGCCAGAAAGTTATATTTCTTCTCAAGTTAACATACTAACTGCAGAAAGAAGCAAACCATGCTCTTGGAATACACCAAATATAATACATTAATTAATTATACATATTTCATCTGAAATTTTCAGTGAACTGAATTCTAATGGTGGCAAAATAAATTCCTCCATTATTACCTGAAATAGGTAATTATGCTTTACCTTTCAACAAAGTAAGGAGATGTCAATTCAGTAAAAGATTAGTTGTTTTTATTTTTATTTTTTTTTAGTTGTAGTTGGACACAATATCTTTCTTTTATTTATTTATTTATTTATTTTTATGCGGTGCTGAGGATCGAACCAGCACTTTGCATATGCTAGGCGAGCGCTTTACCGCTGAGCCACAAGCCTAGACCAAAAGTTTAGTTTTGTAATTACTTCCTAACTACCTCTTCTACCCAATGCACATTCCAAGGACAAGGGGATAAATTAAAAAATGCTGCAGAAAAAACAACACAGATACTGGACTCCTCTGTACTACCACATTCCACATACACTGAAAGACATGAACCCTCTTGATCCTACAGACCTGTGGGGACTGTAGCATATGATTTTAAAATTGCGTTGCTTGTCCCTGATCCCAAACTGACCAAAAGATATATGTAGAGAAATACTAACACTGGGCAAACAGGGGAAGATTGAAACAATTATACAGAACTTAAAATATCAATATGGAAGTTTATTATTTATGGGATTTGTAGGTCTGGGCAGAGTTCTACAGAAATCAATAGTTGCCAAAATGTTGTTAAAACCCAACAAAATTTTCATATATAAAACTCTTCAGTCCCTAACAATTCACAACACATATAGATGAGACTTAATCCAGAGAAAGATTTATTTTCATAGTTTGTCTACAAGCTCTCCAATTCTCATTTGCATATATATTTTGTTCTTTTGAATCTACATAACATGAATTTAAAATAAAATACTGCTCAATAGCTGAGGAATTTAAAAACTTGCTTAACTGTTTAAATAAGTTGTCTATCAACCAAGAATATTTACAAATTTCAAATAGGCACTCTATTGAGAAATAGAAGAAAATTAAGTTCCCAGACAAGTTCATTCTTGTTATTTATAAAAAAGGAAATATTTAGACAGATATCACTCTAATGTAGATAAAACATCAGAAACCTTAAAATAAGTTAATGGCCACCAGCATAATAGTCACAAATAATGAAACAAAAGCATTGAAAAATTTACCAACTACAGTTGTTCCCCAGTATCCATGTGGGATTTACTCCAGGACCCCACAGCTGCAGATATTCAAGTCCCTCATATAAATGGAGTGGGATTTGCATATACTTCACACTTCCTTCCATATACTTTAAATCATCTCTAGGTTACTTATAATACCTAATACAATTTAAATTCTATGGAAATAGTTGTTACAGTGTAATGTTTAGGGAGCAATGACAAGAAAAAAGTCTACCTGTCAGTACAGACATGTTTTGTTCAAGTATTTCTGATCTGAAGTTCATTGAACCCATGTATGAAGAATTCACAAATGCAGAGGACTGATTGCACTATAAATCATCAACATGAGACAAAGCTTAAAAACAAAATGACGGGACCAGGCATTGTGACACATGCCTGTAATCCCAGTGGCTCAGGAGGCTGAGGATCCCAAGTTCAAAGTCAACTTCAGCAAAAGTGAAGGGATAAGTAACTCAGTGAGACCCTGTCTCTAAATAAAATACATAATAGTGCTGGGGAACTGGCTCAGTGATTGAGTGCCCCTGAGTTCAAGCCCTAGTACCACCACCTCCTGAAAACAAAACAAAATGATGAAGTAATGATCATAAGTGATAAGGCCAAAATTGAGTTTCTTAAACATGATGCACAATCTGTAACCTCTGATTATTAAGGTATACCACAGATAATGAAATAGTAATATTTCCTCTTTTATAAGATATGTCCAGTTGTGATATTTCCTTATGAGAAAGGAATACAATCCAAGGAAAGGAATAACACCAGGATAGTGAAATTCATAGAATCATCGAATCATGACATCTGAGAAATTAATGGTGAAACAAATAACTTTGGTGCTACTGGGCTTCAAAAAATTTGTAGGACTTCCATACAAAGAAGTAACTAGATATAATCAGCACTTGGCATAATGCCTAGCACCTCACAGGTAGTCTTAACTATTTACTCTACGACTGAGGGAAAGATTCTATTAATACACAAATCATGTGCTGATTATCTCCAAAGCCAGATAATTTTCTAAAATCACAGAATTAGGTGCAAATTATGGCAAGGTAGAGTTTTGCTTTAAGGTATGAAAAGTTATAAATTACAGCTATGAAATATTGGAAATCAGCCATCTCAAAAGGTAGAGTGTGACTGGAAGCTATGCCTGATTCCTCTGCCTGTCTCTGAAGGGACTGCTCTTCAAGTAAGCATTTAAAAGCCCCTGTGATGCTGTGCTTGCCTTTCTTCCTTGAGATTCTTTATTGTGCGCTCTCATTTCTCCATTTAAGACAGTAATTACTTATGTTTCCCTGTGCCTTGAAATTCCATTCCTTTTTCTAATCCTTATCTGTGAGCAAATACTATTACAATTAAACAAATCTTTAGCTGCTTATTTATTTAATCTTACCATTCTACCCCAAAGTCATATTCTAATTCCTAATGAACAAAAGAGGAAAAGAACCAAACTTAAAACACCATCTATACATGTATGTATGTGTATGTGTAGGTGAATATACATCTAGGTACATATTCTTTTTGGATACATATTGGTAGGATACTGAAGCCAAAATTAAAAGAGGCAGTCAGTATAGATAGGTAAATCAGGTCAGATCAGATCAAGGAGGCCAATTTGGGTCTGGGGAGTTGGAATGGGATTGAAACACTAATGTTTCAAGATAACCTTCCCCTACTCCAACCTGTTGCTAAGGTAACCTGTCCCAGGGATTTTCCTTCCATACAGGGAGTTGTTGATTACACCCCCTTCCTGCCCAGATCACTCCAATTGGCTCCTCCAGCCCATGGGCTTCTATCCTTTTGGCCATCCCACTGAGCATCTCCTGGGCCTAGTCACCTTGCATGAAGGAGAGAGATGAGGGGAAGAGAGCAGAAGAAAAAAGGAAGCCTAAATACATAAAAAAGGCAGAAAATGCTCACTGGGGGATGCCAAGACACCGGCTATGGTCCCCTTCTCCCTCCGTGGAGAAGTCTGTTACCCTTTTTATTTTTTTAAAATATTTTTATTAGTTACACATAACAGTACAATGATCTTGACATATCATACATTTGAATCAAATGGAGTATGATTTCTCATTTTTCTGAGTGTACAGGTTGCATAATCACATTGGTCATACAGTCACATATATACATACAGCAATACTAATGTCTATTTTATTCTGTTACCCTTCCTATCTGTTACCCCTTTTTAAATGAATCCTGCTTTATATGCTTGCCTCCAAGTGCTTCTCTAATGTTATACTTCAACAGGTGAGTACTTCAGCAGAACTCTTCAACAATAACTAGGGGTATCAATACTAGGACTCTTTTTTTTAACTTCTAAAGATAATTTGTTGAGTGATGAAGTTTTTGCTTTTTCTCATTATAGTCATTGTGATAGAGGCAGTCAATGAAGCTGAAATTTTAGGACCTATCTGAATTTGACACAGTTAAAGAGATCTAGCCAAATTGTGAATGTAAGTGTTGCATGAAGAATTAAAGAATGTCAACCATTGTCCTTATCCTTGATGGGTACTTAGTGGAGAAAACAAGGATGACTAGGTGGTTAGGGTTAAGAACAAGAAGTAAACCATAGCCTGACAATTTATCACTTTATGCCCGATTCCTCACATGTAAAACAGAATGTAACAGCTATTTATCCTAACCTGTTTCCTAGGTTTTTGTGCATCTTAAAATGAAATGATAACAATGGAAATATTTTGTTTATAGAGTTATATACAACGACCAATCAGCACTGAATCTGGGTGTGGATTTAAGATCCATGCATACTTAAAGGAGTGTACACTGAAATTCAGCCTATTTAGAACATGCCAATGCTATAAAGTACTAATTAGAAACCAATACCCTATTGTAACCATTCCTGAACTTAAGTACTTATTCTGCCAGCATTGTTGCTACCACTGACTTTATGTACTTCTGTTTCAACCTCTTTGCAAAGACAAACATACATGTTCAGGAAAGGTATAAAATCTCTATCATCCAGAATAACAGCCTTTATGTAAATTTTATTTCATATTGATTTTCGTCTTTCCATCATATTCATTGCAAAGTCAAGTCACGCAAAGAAAATCAATAACTGAACATTAAGGAAGCACTGTTCATACAAAGAGCCGACGAATGTTTTGCATATCTATTCTTTTTATTTTATTTTCCACATTCGGTAATGCAGCAAGTTGAAAAAAAATGCATAACTGAATAAATTAAAGTTAATATTCTCCTGCCTTTTGAAAGAGCAAAAACATATTAAGTCCAGGCAGGATGTTTCTTTCTTTCTCTTTTTCCTGGTGCTTGCCAGGTCCTTTATCAATATCAATGGCTTAAGACCATATTATCCATGGCTGCCATTGAAATGAATGGTACTACAGCATCCTGTTATGAAAGGGCATTTGATGATTTGGCAGGTGAGAGATTATTAAATCTTGAATTTGAAATGCTGGGGCATTATGAAACCACATACTTCAAACAAGTGTGGAATCCACTCAAACTATATCTTCCTTCAGAAGATAAAATTCCATGTAGGTTTCAATGTTCAAGTGTTTTCAGAGGCTTTGAAAATTGAACACCTGCAGTTATTCACACATGAATCTTGTCTTTTCAGTAAACATATCCCAACAGCATTGTTGTGAAAATACTATATTTATTAAACCACAATTAATTATTTTGGAAGTTCTGCATTGAAATATACACAGCAGTTAATATTATCTGTTCCATATTTGGAAATAAAAATTTCACAGTCTTGAATTAATGCTAATAACAATAGATGTGTGGATGTTCTTTCTTCATATTAAATGTTTGGGGCTGGTGATATAGTTCAGTTGGTAGAGTGCTTGCCTCACATGCACAACCCCTTGGGTTCAATCCCCAGTATCACCAAAAATAAAAAGAAAAGAGAAATTTAAATGTTTGGTTCTCATTTGGGGAAATAGAAAAATCAAGCAGCTCCAAACATTTAACTGACCTCACACACAGGGAGATAATCTCAAAGAATTCATGCATGCATATGCCTGTATTCTTCCATGATATGTATGCATATGTACATACATAAAAGTTAATGATACATGTTACTGATATGAAGAATCTGTAGCATGCAACTCAGAATTATAAAATAATATTATGTATTGCAAATTTCATATAGCCAATTGATTTTTACACAATGATATTTTTAATTTTTTCAAAACTCATGGATTTGTAGCTAGATTAGGATTTTCCAGAGAAACAGAAGCAGAAGGATATAGACACAGCCCTTGCACTCATCTCTCTCTCTCCCCCTCCCTCTCTCTCTCTCTCTCCCCCCCACCATAAGGGAATGTATAATTTATTTTATTGTGTTTATATAATTTTATATTTAATAACAACCAGCTTACAAACATTCCTAAAATTTTAACCATCAGTTCTTGTGAGCTAATCCAGCTGGCTCCGGCAATTACTGCAGTCTTACTTTTCCTAAGAGTGGATGAAAATTTACAAAGATATCTTAATTCACTTGGAATTAAGAATTAACATTAATAAAACACAATGAACTCCTCCTGTAATGTGGAGCCTTATCAGTTATTAATACTTATCAGTTATTAATACTTATGAACTCTATCAGCTCCTTTCCTATGGGCAGGCTTTGATGAACAGACAGCATGGGGCTATGAAGGAATATAGGAAAGGAATGCAAATGGGGAATAAAAAATAGGCCCAAGAGCAGACTCTCACAGAAGCAAAATGTGATAAAACCAAAGTGTAGGTTAGGATCAGTCCTGCATATGTTGTTGTAGTTGCAAACATTGAGAAATTTCATTTGCTTGGTTTTCCTACAAATTTTCAGATAGTGCAAATTTATTTTGTTGAGTTTTTACCTACAAGATTCATTCTGTAGATGGCTTGTGATTTCAAGCTAAAATTAGGGGAAGTGTTCTTAGGATACTTCATATATACTTCAAAAAAGTACCTTTGCCTTTAGATGAAGCAAGCAGTATAGTCACAACCTAAGGCACATATTAATTTTTCTAGTACGTTATATCTATGCTAATGGAAAAATGAAAAAGCAATGAAATATGAGCTTTCTGTACTTGCTTTCAATTTATTAGAGTCTGTCTCTTAAAAAAACTTAACAGGAAGTTGCAAAGTCTGTCTTCAGAGAAAGGTTCTAAGAAGACTAATAAAAATGACAGACTTGAAAGTAAAAGTAAAAATAAAAGCTCCCCATGTTCTAATTTATAGCAGATCTTCAGTCTTCACACCCAGCAGGATATCAGGCCTTCTCTTGTTCAGCAACTTTACAAATTTAAAGAGTTTTATAGAGGATTGACCTATGGCATCTATATCGTGTCTCAAGTTCAGAGCCCAGAGATGATTGGTGTTAGTAATTTAAAGCTCTCTTTAGATAGACACATCCATACATAGATACAGAGATAATAGAAGAGGATAGACAGAGTTACTGACAGACACAGACAGATAGACAGACAGAGACACATACACAGGTATTTATCTACATTTCAATGCTCATCCTTCATGACAAGGTTAGCATCTAAAATGTTGTGAAGGACATAAACTCTTTTTTCAAATTTCCTGTCTTCATATTCACCCTTTCTTTTATCATCTTCTCCATTCTTCTATAACATACATTCATGTTCCCCCCAAGTTTACTACGGTTAATTCAGAACATCTAGTGCTCTGCAATTCTAATTCTTTGATGGTTCCATACCCATCTCAAACCACACGTGACCGAGATGAGTTCTCCTTGTTTGGCATTTGTCTTTTCAATTCTCAGCAGCAAACTTTTTTCCAGAGGTGCTTAGAGATGATCCATGCCCCTGTGCCATGCAAGTTCTTTGTATTAAAAGAACTTTGGGAAATTAAACCTCAATCAATGAACAAATACATAGTGGAGTAGAGTCCTAAAATCCTAAAATGTTATCAGGAAACACAAGGTCATCAAAACATCAATATTACTATGCAGAAAATACGGGTTGTATAATCAGATAAATTTGGAGATTAGTAGGTTAAAGTACATCAAATTAGTTTTTGTCTTTCTAGAACCTAAAGTTGTTTTGTTTTGTTTTACTATGCTAAATACGCACTGTTTATCTCCAAGATAGAGATCAACTTGAAGTGATTCCACAATCAAGACTGATTGTGGAATTTGGCTTGCAGTATATTTTTGAAGAAATGTTTTATGCAGGGTATGCACCCCAGGCAAGAAGTGGGCATTATATGGTCTAGTGAGTAGGTTTTCAGGGAGCTGGAGTGGGTGTTGCTGGGCAGTGGGAAGACAAAAGACACATTAAAATAGCATCCAGGAAATGAAGTGACACATGGGGTTAAAAAAAGAAAGGCAAATAGGAAAAAGACATGAAGAAAAAATACTGGCACTATGGACACATTACCCACAAGAAGAATGCATTTTCCTGGGAGAACTGCTTCCAAAGAGCTTGGTGTATGTCAACCTTTTTGCATTAAGAGTAAGCTTCTGCATTTTGCAAGAGTTTAAACATTACACATTGTCTCATCCAAATATGAGTCACCTTCAAATATATGTCTTCTAACCTGAACTGGATGCTTTTTTGAGCAGCAGTGATTCTCATACCTTAGAATACATATCAATCACATGGAGAACTATTTAAAATGCAGTCATAGACTGTCACTTCCCCCGAGCTTTTGATTCTGTAAGTTTGCAAGGGGTTTGGGAAGCTTATAGAGGTTTCACTGCCAAAAACTAACCAACAGACACAGAACACAAAAAAAAAATTAGAAAGCAGAATCAATTTCTTCCTAAATTAGAGAAATTTCATAAGCTCTAGAGTTTTTAAGGAAGAAATCTAAGTCTTCTACAGCCTTTTTCTCATCTCTTGCTGATATCACAATGTGTTTCTCTCTGCTCTTTCTACCTCAACCCTGAGATCTCGAGTACAGCAACTGAGCTGCAGTTTAGGGCATGGAGGCCTGTGAGACACAAAGCCTGCCTTTGTACCCTCACTCTAACACTTACTATTGTGTAACACCTGCCAAATCACAAAACCCTCAATTGTATCTTCTGTAAACTGGGTATGACTCAGACAGAAATTAACCTGGAGGGCTGAATGTGGGTTCTGTCTCCCACAAATTCACATGTTCAAGCTACCTTCAATGTGGCCATTTTTAGAGATGTGGCCTCTAAAGAAGTAAGCAAAGTTAAAAATGAGGTCATAAAGGTTGGGCCCTGACCCCTTAGGATTATGTCCCACATAGGCAGAAACACTGGAAAGCTTGTAATCATTGGCACAAAGAGGAGAGCCTGTGAGAACACCATAGGAATGGAGCCATCTGAAGCAGGAAGGCCCTTGCCAAAGCTCAGTCATGCCAGCACCCTAACCTTGAACTTCCAAACTGCCAAAATCTGAGAGACTTTACAATGGTGTAAGTTACTCATTCGGTGGCATTTTTCTGTGGCAGCCTAAGCAGCCTCATACAGAGGATTATTATAGGATGAAAAAAAGCTAAAGTAAGTAAAGCCATTTATAAAGCCCAAGGCCCTCAGTAAATATCAAGTATTGACCAATACTGTATGTCTTACAAAATCTTTATTTTAAAGATGGGAAGACATGATATTAATTGTATTTACTAAAGATTAATCTATAATTATGTCAAAATTCAGTTTTAGAAGAGAAATAACACCACATTCTTTTTTTCAGTAGCACTAAATACTTGTGAAAGAACAAAGCATTCCCTGAATTATTTCCAATATAGCCAGTAGAAATATTGGAATCTCTATTAGGTAAAACTTTGAAGCTACAAATAATGTTTCTATGAGAAAAGGGTAACAACCTCTTAAGAGACCATATTTAATTAAATGAAATATTTAATTAATGTCTTACTGGGTTATTCTACACCTTCAAAATGAACATCAATGAGCAGTTACCTACACAAGCCATCTATATAATGAAAATAATAGTGTTCTCTGTAGTAGGAGGTGTCTAATTACTTTTAAATACTATAAAGCATTTTTGAAAACAGCATTAATATCAAAATAGACTCAGAGAATGGCAGTTCATTAACAACAGGAGAGGTGAGTCATGACCTAATGTGATCTCTGCGTATAGCTCTCTATAGGAAAATGAGCATATCTAGCTTCCTTTGAGTTTCTTTTGTAACATCTGCATATCTTGTGCTCTCTGATCATTTCTAATTTAATGGATGATTGTAAGCACTATTAATTTTCATATTTCCTTGGTTTTAATCAATCCCTACAATGATCCCATTTTTGACCCCCAGTAAGTAATGTTAGGTGACACTGGAAGTATTTTAAGTTGACTGAGCATGTGATGCTCCCTCAAATCCAACCTCTGCAATACCATTTTAACCAAATTAGCCACCATATCTGAAAATGGACATATGAATATTGGCCTGAACTAGCAGGTGGGATGATACTGATTTGGTAACATCAGAAGCCTTGTATGGGGTGTCTAAGAACCTCAGAACTTGTACTATCAACAAATAAGAACAGCATATCTTTAATAATTAGCATTAAACAAAAGCACAGTATTTAATGAATTATTTAATAAATTTAGAAGACAAAACATGCAAAAGTCAATACAATGTTAGTTAAGAGACCAATTTGAATGCAATACCTTAACAAAAACAATAATACAACCTGTTTAAAGTAAAACAAATACATTTTAAATATAAAGAATAACTTGCAAATCTTCTAGTAACTCAAACTGAAATGTTCAGCATTGAATGAAATAATTTAATGTTTCCTAAATTATATTACTGCATACATGAAACACATATTATTACATACTATGAAACACATAAATTGCAGTACTAGACTTCCAATTCATGGTCATATTTTATATTAAAGATAAATTTCAGTTATCAGTTATTTAGTTCTTTCAAGACGATCTTTCAAACTGGAAAAAAATTAGTCACTTCAGTAACAAAAAATCTTTTAATCATTTTAATTATAATTATTAGGGGTAAATTATGGAGTTGGTTTGCTGAGCATTAAAAATATCTCCCTAAACTTTGATGAAAGGTTTCATGAGCTCTAATGATTCTAGACCATCCAGAAGGTTAAGCACATTAGTAGTCTTACTTAAGCATCTAATTTATTATGACAAAACTTGGACTATAGACTGTAATCCCAAACACAGGGTAAATTCAGTGAAAAATGCAAAATATCTGTTTGATACCCAAGTAGGAAAAATGTGTGTTTTTCAGGGTGGAAGAGCTAGATATTTCTATATGGCTATTTTACAGTATTACACAGGAAGCAGAGAACTTATAACTGTAAACTATCTCATATTCCTAAGGACTATTTAATTAGGGGCTTGACCTTTGCATTTCAAATGCTTTACCTCAACCTTTATATATCTTTAAAAATGACGTACATGGGCAGAATCAGAAGAAAGGTTTCAGACAGTTCACAGTTTTATAAGTACATATGACATGCTTTGTTATAAAGTTAGACATTCTAAAAATACATATATAATGGAACCTATGTTGAGAGCCACAGCCAAAGGGGCCCCAGCAAACTTCCAGCTGCTGGCAGCTGGAAGTTTGCTGGGGCCTCCAGCTGCCAGCAACCTATGCCTACAAAATGAGAATATGGCAACCTACATAGTCTGATCAATATTTGGGCTAAATATAAACATTATTTTAAACTAAAAACTAATTTTTATTGCTGTTTCCCATATAAAATATTTATATGATTCAGATTTTCATGTTCAAATATTTCTTTTTAGATTAATTTATTGTTTTTTTCTTTAAAGCTGCTGGTTGCCTCTTACAAAATGATGCAATGGTAGAGGTCATTTTGCCAGATGTAAAGAACATAGAAAGCAGTTGTTGAAGGAAAAAAATACAGATTTTGAATACAATTTTAATCCTAATCTGACCATAAAGTGGTTATTAGAAGAAAAAAATAAGGAAACAATGAACATTGTTTAATATTATAAACAAGAAAATAAATATAAAATCATTTCTAGTTTATTTTGTTTTCAGGGAGTGTTATTCATAGAAACTGTAATTCAAGGACTTTGAACATAAAACTTAATGATATTCTTTTTTCCATTCAATTAATGATAAAAATTGTGATTCCCCAAGAAAAGAAGGCAACAGTTCAACCCTATCTTGCTTTGGGATTCTTGTTTTTTCAAAATCACTTTAATAATTTCTTAATATACTATAGAATAAAAACTCGTAACAGGACATTAGATTGCCAGTTCCTTTGGAATGGGTGGTGTGTACCAATCAAAGTTCATCATTGTTTTTGACATTTAGCAAGTGGTCAGCCAATCTGTTTTAATATTTTGGCTGTATTTTGCCACTAGGCAAAGTCAGTGTTTCAGTCTTAGCTAGATGCATTTCTAAGGTTCACTTTCATCATGTGTGAAATGAAGGGAAGAGAATAAATGGCCTCTGTAGTTCTCTAACTCTAAAACCATATTCTACATAATCAAATTCTATAATAAAAACTATAGAACACTAAAGAAAGAAATTGAAGAAGACCTTAGAAGATGGAAATATCTCCCTTGCTCTTGGATAGGAAGAATTAATAAAAGGGATATACTACTAGAAGTACTATGTAGATTTAATGCAATTCCTATTAAAACCCCAATGATATTCTTCGTAGAATTAGAAAAGCAATCACGAAATACAATTGAAAAAATAAGAAACCCAGAGTAGCCAAAGCAATCTTTAGCAAGAAGAGTGAATCAGGAGGCATCACAATACCAGACCTTAAACTATACTACAGAACAATAGAAACAAAAACAGGATGGTATTGGGACCAAAATAGACATGTAGACAAATGGTACAGAGACAAATGTACATAAATATGATTATCTCATTCTAGAGAAAGGTACAAAAAACATACATTGGAGAAAAGATAGCCTCTTCAACAAATCCTACTGAGAAAAGTGGAAATCCATATGTAGAAAAATGAAATCAAACCTCTCCCTCTCATGCTGCACAAAACTCAATTCAAAATGGATCAAAGATCTAGAAATTAAACCAGATACCCTGTGCCTAATAGAAGAAAAAACAGGCCTAAATCTTCATCATGTGGACTTAGGACCTGACTTCCTTAACAAGACTTCTAAAGTGTAAGAAGTAAAATAAAAAATCAATAAATGGGATGGATCCAAGCTAAAAAGTTTCTTCACAGCAAAGGAAAAAATCAATAATGTGAAGATAGAGGCTACAGATGGGAGAGAAAAATCTTTATAGCACACACCTCAGATAGAGTATTAACCTCTAGGATACATAAGGAACTCAAAAAACTTAAAAACCAAAAACCAAATAACTCAATCAATCAATGGGCTGAAGAACTGAACAGACACTTCTCAGAAGAAGAAATACAATTGTCTGACAAACATATGAAAAAAATGTTTAATATCTCTAGCAATTAGAGAAATGCAAACTAAGATTTCATCTCACTCTAGTCAGAATGGCAATTATCAAGAATATAAGCAATAATAGGTTTTGGTGAGGATGTGGGGGAAAAGATAGAATCATATATTGCTGGTAGGACTGTAAATTGGTGCAACCACTCTGGAAAGCAGTATGGAGATTCCTTAGAAAACATGGAATGGAACGACTATTTGACCCAGATATAAACATTATTAAAATAGCCAGTTAACTGAATTTGTCTTCTGTCATCTACTGATATGACTAGTGTTTTGTTGTAAGAAAGAGCTGAAAAGTACAATTAAGGATTTTATATGATAGCAAAACATATTCTCAAACTAGTAGTTATTTTATATTCATTATGAGCCTTTTTTTCCAGATGAGGCAAACCTTATAAGTATTGCCCTCAATATAAATAATTGTTACCAAAACAAATAGATCTGATATCCAAAAATATATAAAACTTAGACTATTAAAGGTAAAGTCAGTTTTAATTAGTGGAGAATAAGAAGTGTAGAATATTTTTAAAATTTAGCAATTATTCACAAGTGCATTATAAAAATCAAATCAGTGGCCAAAAGAACCTGCTGAACATGCTGAAATAGTTAAACCTTACAAACACTGCTTTACAGTTTACACTCAACCCCCCCACCTGCTTTCTCTTTGCAACAAGCAAATATTTAGAGTAATGTTTAGAGTAAGCAGAGCAGGAAACAGATTCAGTAAGATAATTAATTGCTCAGCTTCACAGGGTTAGGAAGTAGCAGTGCCCAACTGAATATATAAGGTATCTGACTCAAAAATGGTAAGATACATTTTTAATTAAAAGTACTTCCAAACCATTATTAAACTCCTCAAAGGCAATTTAAAAAATAAGAATTACTATGGTCACACTATTTTTCATGCTAAACTTTTCTTTACTTCACCTCAGTGAAGTAAATTTAACCCATTCCATTACAGTAATTATCAATTTTTTAAATAAGTAACCATCCAACACTTATTCTATACCAGTTGATGTGCAAATGGCTAGCTATACTGTTGTAAATAGAAAGGATTCCAACCTTTATGAAGCTTATTGTGACCAAAACATACTCTGCTTGAATTAATAAAGGATGAGTCATATTTCCACTAGAACACACACACACAAGGCCCTGATTAGGCCTGAGTCCTTAAAGATGGCCATATTTGAAGTGACAATTGATGTGTGAAATGAAGGAGAAGCCAAGAGAAGCTAGGCAGGGTGGAAAGAATACACCAGGCAGGAGAAACAATTCCATGTGCAAAGGGCCTGCAGAGGAGGAAGAAGGGGCTCTACCTTCAAAGCATCAAATGCAGGACAATGTCATCAGTGGGAAGAGTCAGCACACAGATAAGACTCAGTAGGTGAAAGGACTGATCATGTATGGCCTCACAGCTGTTCTTAAGGACATTAGGCTTTTCTTGTGAAGTAGTCTCAGAATCATTTCAAGCAAGTGGGTGTGGGAAGGTCAGACCTGCATGTCAGAAACCCTTCAGTTTTCCAGGTAGAAAACAGAGACAAAAAGCTATATGCCAAAACAGAGGAAAGATAATGTTAACATTGTCAAGAATGACAATGGTATAGACAGAGAGCAGATTCAAGATGGATTTAGGAAGTCAATCAAGAAGGCCTAGTGATAGTTCCACATAGTGGGTAAAGAGAGAGTCAGGATAGTGAGATTTTACTTAATTAGAAAATAAAGAAAAAAAAAAACAACTAGCATGTATTCATAGGACATCTGTATTCACAAAAGCTAATTGATGATTCAGGTTAATTACTGTTCTCCACCTGTTGAGTTTCTGACATAATTTCCATAAGCATAATTCGGCAACACAACAATGGCAGAGGCTGTCATACTAAAATGAATTGCTAACATATGCAATTAAAATAAATGTCTATGAGATGTAACTGTCAAAATAGTAATTATGACTTAGTGAGCTAGAAGCAGTTTGAAAACTTCTTTGAAATTAAATTCCTGTCCTCTATAAAGACTCATCACATTCCAAACCAAGATTTTTTTTCCTTAAAAGAAAAGAAGAAGAAGAAGAAGAAGAAGAAGAAGAAGAAGAAGAAGAAGAAGAAGAAGAAGAAGAGAAGGAGGAGGAGGAGGAGGAGGAGGAGGAGGAGGAGGAGGAGGAGAAGGAGGAGGAGAAGGAGGAGGAGGAGGAGGACAAATTTCTTATTACTGCATATTCATCATGATTCAGATAAACTTAGTACATAACTGGGTACTTCTTTTAGTAGTTTAATGACTTACACATCAGGTTCACTTGAAATGTATTTCATTTTTGAAAAACAGTGAAGAATAAACCACTTCCACTTTTTAAAATTCATGCATAACATTCATTACATGTAAACAAGTTTTGTAAAGTAAGATCACCCCACCAAACCCCAAGCTAGAACTTGGAATGAGTGTATTAAAAAGAATTCACTAAGCAAACCATTTGGTGTGGCAAAGTGTAAAAACAAAATAGGATATACAACACAATCAAGAGTGCCAGATATACTTCTTTGTTTGGTTGTGCTAGCAAGAGACAAAATACCTTCTTAGGTAAATAATCAGAGTATTCTATAAAAAATACTCCTCAAAAAGAAATGTTTTGCAGTATGCTTCTAGTAAATCTTAAGGAGGAGTCATATTTCATCAATTCTGAGACTCAGATTTCATTAGTAGTAGTAGTAGTGGTGGTGGTGGTGGTGGTGGTGGTGTGGTAGCATTTATATTTTAACATCTCTGAAATCAAATGTCTCTGCAATAGATACCATCTCACAAAGTTTGTGAAAACATTCAAGGGACAGTCTTTACATAGTTGCTCTACCTGCTCTTGATGGTAGCTAATCCAACTGTCTTCCTCCTGGCTAAGCCAGAAGCATTGTACGTACAGCCTGTGCTGAGTTTACCAACTGTTTAAAATTTATTCTCATCACTGAAATAAAAACTCATTGCTTACACGAAAAGGCATGGCAACAAAGGACAGGATATAAATTTGGTCTTGGTAAAACACTCTTCAATGAAGAAATAACCATGATTAGTAATATTTATGAAAGCAACAAACAGGTGGAAAGATATCAATGATTAGATGAAGCTGTGTAATGTTTTTGTTACTGACCAAAAGAATTGACTGCCATGAAGAAAAAAACTTGCCTAATCCCTCATAATGGCTGAAAAAAAATGTTTCAAAACAATAAGGGAGAGGGACAGATGTGATGGTTCATGCATTGTGTGATGATAGTATCATTAATGAAACAATCATAATTTTAAGATTTTTTTTCCCTTTCGTAGTGGTATGTAAAATGATGGTATATCTTAATGTTACACTAGATTTCAGGGTAATAAGGTTATGAAAGAGCCATGAAATGACAGATGGAATATGAAGGTTCTATTCCCTGTTCATTAAATAATGATCTTGGAAACCATGAGTCAGTCTGTTAACTTATTTGGGTTCCAATTTCATCATCTGTAAAATGGAAATGGTGTGCTAGATTATTACTAAGGAGCTAGTTCTATGATATTATAATAGGTTGATTATCTCTATGGAATATTAGATTAAACAGAGTTATATTTTAAATTGATCATTATATATTTTGTTAATTTTAAATACTTGCAATAAATTTAGCTTAAAGCATACAAAGAAGAAAACTTGATTCACTTAAATTTGAATTCATTCCAAACCCCAATTACCATAAAAGTAATTACCATTTTTTCTATAAATTTTATATTTAAGATTTTAAAAGTAAGACATTAAAGCAACTGTATGAATAGTAGAAAGGAGCAGGTAGTAAGTAAAATGCTGGGTAAATGCAGATTTGGTCCAATATTTTACATCCTTGAGACTATTTAGAAACCACCATTGTTATTTTTAATTGGTTCTTTTTAGTTAAATATGACAGAATTAATTTTGATATAATTGTACAAGTATAGAATATATCTTATTCTAGTTAATGCAACATTTTTTTGGATGTACATTATGGTGGAAATCACTATGGTGTATTCATATAAGTACATCATAGGGAGATTGTTTTGGATTAATTCTACTATTATTCCTTTTCCTATCCTCCTTCATTTCCCTTCATTCCCCTTTGTCTAATCTACTAAATATACATTCTTCTCTCCTCCCCCTTATTGTGGGCTACTTCCACATATCAGCAAAAATATTTGACCTTTGGGTTTTTGGGATTGGCTTATTTCATTTAGTATAATAGTCTCTAGTTCCAACCATTTACTTGCAACAGTCATAAAGTCATTCTTCTTTATGGCTGAGTAATGATCCATTGTGTGTATATACCACCATTTCTTTGTTTATTTGTTGAAGGGCATCTAGATTGGTTCCATATCTTAGCTATTATGAATTGAGCTGCTATGAACATTGGTGTGGCTGCATCACTGTACTATTCTTATTTTAACTCCTTTGGATATATGCCAACGAATGGGATAGCTGAGTCAAATGGTGGTTCCATTCCTAGATTTTTCAGAAAACGCCATATTGCTTTCCAGTGTTGCTGGTGGGACTGCAAATTTGCACCAATTTGCAGTCCCACCAGCAATGTAGGAGTGTACAGTTTTCCCCACATTCTTGCCAATATTTATTGTCACTCGTATTCTTCATAATTGCCATTCCGACTGCAGCGGGATGACATCTCAGTGCAGTTTTAATTTTCATTTCTCCTAATTGCTAGAGACGTTGAACATTTTATCATATATTTGTTGACTATTCGTATTTCTTCTTCTGAGAAGTGTCTGTTCAGTTCCTTTGCCAATTTACCAATTGGGTTATTTGATTTTTTGGTACTACATTTTTTGAGTTTTTTCTTATATAGTGGAAATTAATTCTCTATCAGAGGTACAGGTGAAAAGATTTTCTCCCATTCTGTAAGGCTCTCTCTTTGTGTTCTTGATTGTTTCCTTTTCTGTGAAGAAGCTTTTCAGTTTGAAATCATTCCATTTATTGATTTTACTTCTTGTTCTTTAGGCCCATAATAGCAAAAGAAATCCTTAGCAAGAAAAGCAAAGCAGGAGACATCACAATTCTAGATCTTCAATTATGCTACAAGAGCTACAGTAACAAAAACAGCATGGTACTGGCAACAAAGCAGGCAAAAAGGCCAAGACACAGAAAAACCCACAAAAATACAGTTACCTCATACTTGATAAAGGTGCCAAAAACATACATTGGAGAAAAGATAGCCTCTTCAACAAATGGTGGTGGGAAAACCTGGAATTCACATGCAGTAGAATAAAATTTAACCCCTATCTCTCACCCTGGACAAAACTCAACTTAAAGTGGATCAAAGACTTAGAATTCAGCCCAGAAACCCAGTTCCTACCAGAAGAAAATGTAGGCCCAACGCGCCAACATATTGGCTCAGAAACTGACTTTCTCAAGGAGACACCTCTGTTCTTTTTTTTTTTTTTAATTTGTTCTAATTAGTTACACAGGACAGTACAATGATCTTGACATATCATACATTTGAATCAGATGGGATATAATTTCTCATTTTTCTGAGTGTACAGGTTGCAGAATCACATTGGTGTTGCAGTCACATATATACCCACAGCAATAATAATGTCTATTTTATTCTGCTGTCCTTCCATTCCCCCCTTCCCCTCTCCTCCCCTCCCATCACTTCTCTCTACACAATCTAATGTGACCCACTTCTTTTTTTCTTTGTTTTTCCCCTCACATCGTCATACCTGTATTCTGTATAAGGAAGGGGATCTCCTTCCCTCTTCCATGCAATTCCCGTTCTCCCTCCCTTTCCCTCCCACCTCTGTTCCCTATCTAGAGGTAATTTTCTTCTCATGCTCTTCCTCCCTACCCCGTTTTGAGTCACCTCCCTTATATCATTTGTTTTTTGGGGGGATTGGCTAACTTAGCATAATCTGCTCTAATGCCATCCATTTCCCTGCAAATGCCATGATCTTGTTATTTTTTAGTGCCGAGTGATATTCCATTGTGTATAAATGCCACATTTTTTTTTTTTTATCCATTGAAGGGTATCTAGGTTGGCTCCACAGTCTAGCTATTGTTCTTAATAAAAGATTAGATGCAACAGATCACTGTTAGCTTGACTGCCATAAATAAAAGAGCCAATCAGTTTGATTGTAACTTTAGCTTAAAATATGCTTGTCTTTGAGTCTTTGGAAAAATTGTTATAAATGCTTTCTAAATGCTGTGGTATATATGGGGTAACAATATTCAGTTCACTAGAATATTTATTGAACCTGAAAAGTGTGTGATCCAATAATTGTGAATAAATGAAAAATTACTGTAAAGTTGTAAAATCTTACAATCAGATAAAAACTTTCCATGGAAACCAAGCAAAGGGAACATGTCAATTTGACTGAAGTCCCATTTACCACAGAGAGGTACTATGTGAGATGATGCATATCTAAGGAGACTATACCCTGGGCAAAGGTAAGCATTTTAGCTTTGCTTAAAAAGTGGTGCGAAGGAAGGTGAAAAATTTCACTAGACTATAATTTGTTAAAATCACTGAAGAATTATGAAAAGGCCAGAAAAATATTTTAAAAAGTAACTTGAAGACACAAGATCAAGAGATACTCCACAGAACTATTGATTATTATTTATTTCAAAAAATACTTTAGACTGATTCTTTCTCATGATTGACTTTTCATTGCAGTATTTTTATCGTTGCCATAGACAGATGAATATTACAAGCACCTACCATGCATAATAGGTACTTGTAATAAAATTTCATTTTCTTCAAAAGGCAGAAAACAATACAAAATCAATCTTAATTGTGTATTGTATGTGATATAAATGTTAAACTTTCAATATTAGATTGATATATATATATATATATATATATATATATATATATATATATCCCAAGTTTAGTAAAATATTAATAACACTATTATGTATCACAACACATATTAATTCAGTCTGGATTAAATATGTTCATTTTTTATTGTATACTACTTTTTTATTTGTTGTTTTTAGACATACATGACAGTAGGGTATATTTGGACATATTATACACACATGGAATGCAACCCATTCCAATCTGGATCCTATTCTTTTGGTTGTACATGATGTGGAGTTACACTGGTCATGTATTCATATATGAACACAGGAAAGTTATGTCCGATTCACTCTACTGTCTTTCCTATTCCCACCCCTCTCCCTTCCCTTCATTCCCCTTTGTCTAATCTAATTAACTTCTATACTTCCCCTCCCTACCCTCTCTAATATATTCATTCTTAAGGTCATACAATTTAGAAAATTTTATTGGTAAAATGGACACTTTTCCATTTCTGTTGCTTCCCCTATGTTCTCTTTCTCTTTATCTGAATCAAAAATATGTACCTTAGGAGCCATGTTAGTTAAGAACCATGTTAGTCTTGTTCCTCATGTTCCCCAAAGCAATCTCAGTCCTTAGTGCAGAGTAGTTATGTAAGGAGTCAGGTATCTGAGTCTCTCTCATTTCTGGCATGTAGGGAAAGCAGAAGCACAAACTGCCCTTTTGTGTTGAACTATCTTTACAAGGGTGTTTGTAAACAACCTTGTAAGACAAGAGTTTCACAGCTTTTTTATTTTGACTTTTTTTTTTGATTGTTTACTATAATAAAGATAATGACTCTCTACAGAACAGAGCAAATTCAAGCAGATTTGCATTTTGCCGGCTATAAAAGATTCAGGTTTCCTGAGCTCCTGGTTCCCAGCTGTGATATGAACCAACTGTGTTCATTGTTCTGGCCCCCCTTCATGTCAACTCCAAAGGACTTGGAGGGACAGTGAAGTCCAAGCTTCTTGATGTGCACTGAGTAAAAAAATGTCTTTGTTTCTTATATGGGAGTATCATGTTTTCTGACAGTATATGCCATAAAATCCATGGCATGCTAAACTGTTAGCCTGAAAGTGGGGTAAAAATCTCAAAACTTCATACTCCTTATAGAATCCAAACATTTTTTTTTTGCAAAAGAAAGAAATTTTCCTAGCAATTCATCCATTTTCTAAGTATTTTTCAAGATCACAAAGAGTAGTTAGCCTATTCTATGTATAATTCTTCCTAAATATATAAATAATAATAATTTATATGATTATTATGACTATTGTTTTCTAAAATGTGTAACTGTCAGTCATTTAAGCTTAGAAGGATTAAGATTTACAGGACTATCCAACAAGACATCAACAAACCCATCCATTTTCCTCCTCACTCTCAGTTAACTACTTAAACTTATACACAGTGAGGGAGAGATTGACTAAAAATTTCAGAAGGAGTCTTGTTAATCAACATCTGTTTTAGTCAGCTTTTGTGTCTCTGTGGCCAAAACCCCTGACAAGAACAACTTGGAAGGTAAGTTTATTTTGGCTCATGGTATCAGAGATCTCAGTCCCTGGACTGCCAACTCCACTGCCCTGTGCCCAAGATAGGGCAGAACATCACAGGAGGAAGGATGACAAGACTGAAGTTGCTGCCCTCTTGTCAACAAGGAAGCACAGCAAGAGAGGCGAAGGGGCCACAGAAAAGATGAACCCCTCCAGGCCCCCAGTGACCTAAATCCTCCAGCCTCGCCCCACCTGCCTACAGTTATACCCAGTTTGTCCATTCAAATTAGAGTGCACTGATTAGGTTACAGCTCTCACAATTCAATCTCTTCACTCATGAATAATACTGCATGAACACAGAAGATTTGGGGAACATCTCATATCCAAACCATAACAAGCACCAAGAGAAATCCTTTAGAATGTCATTTCGTAACTGTTAAAACAAGTATCTGTCAGGTTGGGGAAATGTTCACTAAATGATGTCTATTTACTTAATTACAGATCCCCGCCATACACTGCACACACCATATACAAACCATTTGAACAAAAGTATTCTATCTCACATTTAAGATGTACCTGTGCATTGTGAGAAACCATTAAGGCAACCAGAACATTGCAAGATTGTGAGCAGGTAACCAATAGATAAGTCTCTGTGTTAATGATAATGGCCGAACACTGTACTTGAAATAGGCAGGTGATAGACAAGTGATCAGTTTTAAAGATGACAAGAATGCAAAGATAAGGAGGGCACTGAACCTTGATAACCTGTTGATACTTTTATAAACTTCCATTATGGACCCAATCTGTTAGGAAAAAGAAAAAGGTGTCAAAATTCAGTCCCTTCATCAGATACAGTGAGTTAGTTGTTGCTTTTTCTTATTTTAATTTTACTTTATTTTTCTTGGTACCAGGGATTGAACCCAGGGGTGCTTAGCCACCAAGTCACATCCCTAGCCCTTTTATTTTTTTTTATTTTGAAAAAGGGTACCCCTAAGTTGCTTTGGGCCTTGCTAAATTGCTAAGCCTGGCTTTCAACTTACGATCCTCCTGCTTCAGCCTTCCCAAGTCACTGGGATTGCAGGCTTGTTTCGCCATGCCCAGCTTCTTATTTTGTTATAGAAAATTCCACATAACGGATTAGAGTAGCTTCACACAATTTAATGGTAAAACCATTAGCTGATGATTTTCAATGCAAGGGATTTAATCTTATTGATAGATGTAAATAAATTAGTGTTTATTAGCCAAGTTTGAAGCTAACTATGTAAATTAAATTTCTAAACTTTGATTATATCTCTAAATATTCCCGATATCCAATATATCAAGATGATTAGGTATTCCATGTGAATTCTATCTTGAAACTTAACTGGAATCCTGATGTTTTGTGGTAAGCAGAACAAAACTCAAGAGGACTGTAGGCAATTCCCATGGAGGGAGCGGTTAGTTTAAAAGAAAATAAATAAATGATATTGACAGTTGTCAGAGTCAACCTTCTCTCTTTTTATCTGGTACACAGTAAAACCATGGGCCATTCTTAATGACTTCTATATAAAAAAGGCCATGCTAACCTTTGATGCTGAATATTGTAACAGAATATCAAACAGAAACCTTGATTCTCTTCATCATTTAATATTTAGTATTTCTTCAGGTAACTAAATAAAATCCATTCCCTCTTGTTTTGGCAGGCATTTAAAACTGAAAAGAACTTCCTACATCAGCAGTAAAATAAGTTTAGATTCAGCGCTCCTCCATCTATGTTACATGGTCTGCTGCAAAGAATAAGGATAACAATCAGGAAATAGTGAATGTGGCAGGCATTTTGTGACAAACATCAGTTGCATGGTTTCACATTAGCTGTTCAAACAGCCATCAGAGGATAATGACTTTCAGTCACTATCAATCAATAAATTATTCAGCTGCAATTTCCCATAATTCATTGCTATTACTACCAGTAATCAAGTTGTCTCCTTTGTTCCTAGAAATTAAGCTTGAACTAAGCAATATGACTAATTACCAGTTAGTCTTCAATAGTTCCTCCAATAATTTGCAACGTTGGACATTAACTATGTTAGTAATAGATGAAGGCGCTATATTTTTAAGTCATGGTGAATTGCTAATTGCACTCATATTATTCACCCTACTATCAGTAAAGGGCATTATGCTGCCTAGATGAAGCTAGATTAAAATCAATTAAAAAGATGAGCTGGTTTTGTTTATCATGTATTTTTATAATTTACCTGACAGCTGTTTCCTCAGTACTACTGAAGAATGCATATGAAGAAGATATAACCCCTTTGAAAAAACTGACGCTTCTTAAAT